ATGGATGGATGGATGGATGGATGGATGGATGGATGGATGGATGGATGGATGGATGGATGGATGGATGGATGGATGGATGGATGGATGGATGGATGGATGGATGGATGGATGGATGGATGGATGGATGTTTGTTTTAAGGTTATTTCAGAACGACGAACAGAGGAGTCGCGGACGATATTTTTTTTAAATGTAAATACTAACTGGTCCTAAAATTTATTAGCCATATTTTATAGTGACATTTAATTAGTAATAAAAGTATCCAAAAATTCTCCACCCTGTATTCATAAACAAATTTTGACAATCATTTCAAAACTAGAGGTCGTTTGTCGATTCAATGAACCGGGAAATGGAGTTTGGTACTAAAGCGATACATTTTGTATTAATAGACTAAATCAAATGAAACTTTTCGATATTATGCGACATTTTCGTCCGGAAATATTACGTAGTAATGCAACAAAATATCTATATTTCGTGTCGTCAGAATTTGTGAGAAAGTTTACACAAGTGCGCTTCTATACATCTTGGTTTTGGCTTCCACTGCCATGTTACTTCATATTAATAAAACTATTTTATTACTTTAAACTTTAAATATATTTTTTTTAAATTTATAATAGATGGCGCTGATGTGAACACAATTTATTTAACTAATTAAAATATGTTTTGAATAAACTATGTTGTGTTAGGAAGAAAATCCGACACTGTGCCAGTGTGCGAACACTAGCCTTACTAAAATGTCGACATTGTGTCTCCTCACTATTCATTCTGACATTGGTCTTATTAAAGCACGTCATTCGCGCCTAAATTTACCTAACAATTTTAATTCCTGTTTTATGTATATTTTTATATTTTCAATCCTACGTATAAGTTTTCTACATATACAATTACTACTTTTACGTACAAAAGACGATAAATAAATTCTCCTTTCTTCATAATTTCAAAAACAATCTAGCAAGACGAACTTCTAGCAAGTTAATGGATCGTTTGAAAGAAAATGGAATCTTAATAACTTTCTGTATAGAGGGCGATTGCCAGCGCCCTCTATTGAGTTTTATTAGCCTCGTTACCTCCGAGAGGATTTTAAACAATGTAACATCGCGATAAAAACGTTAAATAAATTTCTAGCTCATTTATAATATTTTCACAATTGAAATAAGTTTACAAGTACCGTGATCATTTGTTTTTTGACTCAAACTAGGTTTTTTTTTGGTATGGTATTTCATTTTTCTAAATAGTTTTAAAGAATAAAATTGTCATAAAAAGAAACGATTACATTTTTATCGAAAATCAGAAACAATAATCAATAAAATTTCGATTGCAATTTCTATAAGAACAACATTGAAAATCGAAAAAATTTGGAACCGATTGTAATCAACCCATCTCTAGTGAATTGTCAAACTAATCTATCTTAAACTAGCTGTCGCCCGCGACTCCTTCTGCGTGGATATATTAAAAACTTACTTAGTGTAGCCCACCCATCCATACATCTAAACATTCGCATTTATAATATTAGTAAGTTAAATAAAAAGCAGCTCTTAAAGGCATAAATTCGAAAAATAAGTAGTATCCTATGTCCGTCTCCTGGCTCTAAGCTACCTCCTCACCAATTTTCAGTCATATCGGTAAAGCCGTTCTTGAGTTATAAATAGTGTAACTAACACGACTTTCTTTTATATATATAGATAGACACACCATAACTTTCTTTAGACTTAATTACTTAAGTAAGTCTTAAACATTGATAAGAAACTTGCGGATTAAATGAATTACTTACGCAAACAACAAAATTACATTAAATAAAGTAAACGATTTAATTTTATATTGATTTTTCTACATTTAATAAACGTCGCAATTGTTTTACAAATATCAGATATCTTTGTTTAAACAACTGAATACAAACATTGATGTCTCAGTTGTTTCAAGGAGAATGACACAATATGTTTATACAAGTTTTTCTTCAGTGGAAACCCACTGTTATACTAGTGTTATTTTTCAATGTGTCAAGCAATCGGCGCCGTGGCTTAGTTGGTTAAAGCGCCTGTCTAGTAAACAGGAGATCGCGAGTTCGAATCTCGCCGGGGCCTTGAACTATTTTTATGTTTATTTCATCAATTCCTTTTAAGAAATATATTTAGAATAACCTTGAGCTTTTAACCTGTTAACCGGGGAGTTCTCGTTCAAATTATGCAACATGTACCGAGCGCGTATTGTTTCGCTAGGACATGTTAATACGTCACGCCCGGAGACCGTCATTTCATATATCTATATTTTAATTTATTCATAAAATGAATGATAAACTATGAAATGTATATCGTTTATTAATAATTTTGAAGTACAAAAGGAATCACAAAACAATTAAAAGCAAGTAAACAAAATAGATTTTTTGAGGACGTATTCATATGTCCTACCCGTAATCGATATTGTTTACGCCTGACGCATTTATACGTCTTGTCCGGTTAACAGGTTACTGGTGAAAAAACAGACATATTGCCATCTCTTTCTTCTAAAAGAGAATAAAAGGGACAACCGTTTTTAATACGAGTTTATAAAAAATCCAAAAGTAAAGTCAATAGTAAATTGTCAATTTTATTAAATGCAATAAAGTATTCTAACATCTATAAATAAATATTTTAAAGTGAATTAAAATGTTCATATTATTTATCAAGTGCATCATCATCAGCTCACTATACGTCCCCACTGAGGGGCTCGGAGCCTACCCTAAGTTAAGGGTGACTAGGCCATAGTCATATCAAGTGCATATAATTTTTAAATCGTATAATGCAAATAAAACACAAATACTTGAGTTAATTTACATAACAATATAAATATTATCAATATATATAATTTGCAATGATTAAAAGTAAGTTTTAATTTCAAATTAATTTTAATCTTAAAATTACGATGTTCCTTATTTTTGTTAATTCACTTGAGTTGTACCAACACCATGAAATAAGTAACAACTGCACCCAGCACCTGAAAAAATTCAAACATATTTTTTTCAAAACCCCTTTCCTTTTAAGAAAGGCATAGGAAAGCAAAGCGGATCAAATTAGGCCTCTAATCCGCACACTCGTCAGACGAAACACGAGATTACTTCCACTTGACGCCTGTCGTGTGGTCTTGGTATTGCACCGGGCAAGCTGCACCCATTCGTGCAGATATTGCTGGTTGTACGACTGTTAAAAACAATGCACCAAAAACTCATAAAATAACAGCATAATTTGTTAACACACAACAAAGTTCAAGAGTAAGAAAGGATTAGAAGAGACTTTCTAACTGTTTCAAAATTTCAATTGACAAACTTATATACATAAAAATAATTGTTGTTCGTTAGTCTCGCTAAAACTCGAGAATGGCTTAACGGATTTATCTTATTTTGGTCTTGAAATGTTCGTGGAGATCTAAGAAACCTTTTTTTAATACCGCGCGGAAGTCATCGGCGCTAGCTAGTACTGAATAAAAGAATACTCTACCGAAGCAAACAGATCCAATGATACTGTGAAGAACTTCGCTCCTGAAATACTCATAGCCTTCTGACATTGTTGACATACTATCTGAACGAATGTCTTCGCTTCTTCAGAACCGTCGTACCATTGACAGGAGTATGCCGCTTCCATTACTGATGAGCTCTTTGAAAACAAAAGCCAATCGGTTGTAACCGTATCGAAATATCAATCAGGTAACAACCAATAGGCTGTTATCTATATATATAAAAATCAATTGCTGTTCGTTCGTCTTGCTAAAACTCGAAAACGAAGAATCTTGGTCTTTAAATGTTCGTCGAGGTCTAGGTAAGGTTGTAAAGGTCAGAAAAATTCAAAAAATTGCCGGGAAAAACCTAAAAACAGCTCTTTTCTTTTTCCCATATAAACGGCTGAATGGATCTCACTGAAACTTGGCATAGATGTAGAACAAAATCTAGAAGAACACAAAGGCTATTTTTTTTTAATTACGCGCGAACGGAGTTGCTGGCGACAGCTAGTCACTGATATAAATTAAATGGCATTTTAACAAGGATCTATAATTTTGGTTCATATCTGAATTTACTGCGGTCTTATACAGTCTGATGTCTCTTAATCTTTTGTCTTTCTCTATCCATAATCAATTCACAAGCATCGTGATCATTTTTGCAAATTGTGAAATTATGTTTTATATTTTCTTACCTCTTCAATTAATCTGTTACCAAAAATACAGAAATGAAAAACCTGCCCCAAAGTATAACTCAAATATCCGATTGTACTAAAAGCGTAGACATTTAATCCATCGATCTGTAAAGAATTTATTTACTACAACAAAACTAAGGCTTTCATTTCATGTATTATAGTTTATTATATAGGCAAAGTCACCCCTAACATAGGGTAGGCTCCGAGCCCCTCAGTGGGGACGTATAGTGAGCTAACGATATAAGCAAAATAGCAAGTAGCCTGAATTCACCGAAATAGCGAAGCAACCGCTACCCTTAGGCATGCAAATGCAGATTCGTTGCCTATATTTAATTGACGGAAGAGACACTCAGAAAGAGAATAACCCTTCCTATGCGTCCCTTCCATCAAATCCCCTCCACATAATTTCCTTACAAGAACACTATTAAGATAAAGAAGACTAAAATTAAGCCTCCCTAACTGGTTATGTAGTACTCAAATACTGTACCTTCGTAGCCTGATATGCTAATAAAGTAAGCGTGATAGTCGATACCAACATATGAAATAACAGAGCTGTGCCGTACGTATCTCCAATTGAAGCAACCAGTCTGAAAACAGTATAATTGAAATAAGATTTAATTTCTGCATTCTTTACATAATTATAACAAAACGAGCACGACCAGTAATTAAGTATACAAACAAGATGAAGATAATTATCGTCTTTAAGACGATAATTATGCTATTATAGCACTCAAACATCAAATGGAAAATAAGAAGTTAAGTTATTTGTAATCGGTTGAGGTTCAATCCTCAGCGACAGTGTGTTTTTCAAATTTTCGAATTCTTTCTACATGTATGACTTCATATTCTACTTTTTTACAGTGAAAGAAAACATCCTGTAACTCCATATATTTGCGAAGAAATTCAAAGATCTGCGTCAACCAATTGCACTGGGCCAGCATGGTTAACAAATTCTAGTGAGACTTAGTCACCTTTAACTCAATGCAGTCTCCAGCCCCGAGCGAATTTTGTGAGTTGACGATGACGGACTTACCTAACAACATGCTTGTGACGTTCCACCCAATATTTGATAGCAGATCTAGCTAGTAGTTCTTGTTTTTGTGTCAAACCATTAGGATTGTTGGGTGCAGGTTGACCGAATGTCTGCAACCTACCACCCGCGCCTCGCGCTGTCATACCAAAGTCTTGTTGGGTGGAATAGATTCCTCTGATGTCTAGATCTACCGTGTCTGGAATCTTCTCGGATTTTTCTGTATTCGTAAAAATAAGAATCAACTTAAATATTAAACTTGTATCAAATTCATAAACGTAAAAGTAATTTCTATTGACGAAACGACTTTATAAAAATCCATAGTCCGTTTGTCCAACAACATCGTCACCGGCATCGGCACCGTCACGAGTTCATGCCTGTCTGAGATGAAAATGACGTGACCGCAGTCTTTTGACCACAGCGACAATCTCGGTGGAATTTTTAGTAATATTAAACTGTTTATCGTCTTCTTTAAATTCAGCTAAAATGTAACATTGCTACGTAAGCTAATTTTATTGGTAATTGATATTATAAATGGCAAACCAATTAGAAAACAAGTAAAGACATTGTCGCAGTTAACACATCACCAGTTTATAGATTCTTATTTACCCAATTACCTGTATTAGAAACACGAAACAGCTCAGCAGTATTGGGTCGATAAGTATCTAGAGACGCGCTCAGTTCCATCAGAGGTTTCATAATAGCTTTGAGATGCTGCAGCTGCTCACAGGCGAATATCAACCAGCTGCAGAACATTACATCCAGCAGATTTGCTATAGCCATAGAGAAGAGTAGCCAATAAACCTGGAACATAATGCTTTATGGTCGCAGTTATAGCAACGAATCAGGCAAGGAAAAAGAGATAGAAGCTTTCTTGAGACATTATCATATGCTTTTATAAGCTGAACTCTGATGAAGCGCCCCCGATGGACTCCAAACTAGTCGGTGCTGCCACCAGACAAACATACGTGACTGTTTTAGCCGATTTTTATACGTTTACGATATAATATCTAGTTTCCAAATTATATTCTAAGCTTCTACTAAGTATCAAACATAACTCTTTTGTATGTACTTTTTATCTCTAGTTTTCAACATACCTGAAATATGAAAGCGACGACATACATTGTCCCGCTCATTGCGTTGAAAGGATACCAGGCCTTGACCGGCAGTCTTGGTGCTGGTTCTGTTAGAGTTTCATTTGTTTCTTTATTCGTTATCAAGCGCACTGATTCACCGAAAAACGTTATCGTCACCCAACCTAAATGCAAGGATATTTTATACCACAATACACGTCGAATACAATTTTAAACCAGCATAGGAGTTAGATCGTACCCACGATTAAAAAGAACTAATTGGCAGAACAAAAGACTATAGCAGTAACCACTTTACTGTCATCATAATTTCCTAAGAAATCACCTAAATTAGAGGTTACTGGTCTTAAGATCAGTTTTTAGCCTCTTTGAATCATAAAATATAAATTACGAGCCGTCGCTCGCGACTCCGTCTGCGCAGATTTAAAAAAAAAACTTAAGTAGCAGCCTATGTGTTCTTCCAGACTAAGATTTACATCTTTGTTAAATTTCATCAAGATTCGTTCAGCCGTTCTGGAGATACCTTTAAAGAAACATCTATCCATCCATCCAAATATTCGCATTTGTAATATTAGGAAGATCATAAGTTGATAAGAGTAATCGTAAATAAAGTTCTTACACACAACACTGAGTACAGTCATGCCGCAGATGAAATACAATAACCTTCGCATTTTAGTCAAAGCCAATTGATGATATCTTGCGTCTGATTCAGTGAAGAGAGGATGACTGTTTGACTGATTCCACATTGCCAATGTCCTATACAAAATACAAAAGAAGTAACATATTTAAATTAACTAGATTACTTATGATGTACTTTTGAAGAACGCAAAATTGTATGTTAGGAAAAATCTAGAACCAATGTGATCGAAGTGGTTAAAAAAGAATATTCTAAATAGAAAAAGATTCTTTATTAGAGTCTCTGAAGCTTTTTTCTAAATCACAGATAAAGTAGAAACTAGATGACCTAGTTATTTTTCCATGAATGTTAGAAACACAACTTTTAATTAAGCAATAACCGCACGACCCAGTTTTAGAATCTATCGTCTCTAAAACTGAAATTTGTATTTAAACCTCTCGAACATTCTAATACCTTGCTCTATTTTGGCTTATAAATTAAGTATATAGCTTTATATCTATGAAGTTCAGTAAAGAATTAAAAAGAAAAGAAGATGTAAGAATATCGGGAGGTTACTGATGTTTGGCTTGCAATACCTTTATGTATGAGCCAAGTGAGCAAGCCTAATTATCAGTTTCTTAAGAAATATCAAAAACTTTGTCACCAAGAATTTCCGTACCACAAATTTTATTAATGACTTCAAAACTACATTTAAACTACTTTTAGATCTTAGAGTTAAAACTTATTCAGACTTACCTGTAGAAACTCTTTGAGTTAATTGCAAAGAAAATTAACTTAATAATTGAATGAGCGAAGAACAGCACAGTAATCGTATTAGCAGTCAGCTCGTTTACTTCATCAGAATACTGCGCCATATTCGCCATCATGCATAAATACTGGATAATAATAAGAAACGCGTGAACACTGGCGTAGATTTTGCGAAGTAATATCGACATTCCAGCATTTTCTGCAAATTTAAAAACGTCAAAATTACATGCATACACATCGTCTACTACGAAATCCAAATTCATTTCAAGATGGACAATTTCATAAATTCTACTCTACACCATTTTTTTATATGGCATTTGTTCGACCTCTTTTGTTTCTAGATGTTCTTCTAACTCAAAGTAGCATGATGATGAATCTACACTAAGGGACTATTTAACCACTCTTATTGTGACGATTAAACTTGAATTGTGTAATGAAAAGCAATATAATAGCTAAGTAAATACCTGGATAGTAATTGAATAGGAAATGTCCAGCCATTTGCATTAATTTGATGTTTGGCATCAAATCGGACACGAGGCCCTGAGTTTTGATTTTGGTCATCATCTGTAAAATTATCAATTACTATAATCACGACTCTATCATGGCCTTTTTCTGGAAGGTCGGCACAGTATTTGCTATTCTTCCATATATCTCTGTTAGCCTTCATATCTGAATTAACCCCCTTCTTACGCATCGCCTCTTTAACACAATCTGTCTCTACATTCTTCGTTCTTTCTCTACCCTTGTAGCCATCTACATATCTGATTCCTTGATGATATTTATAATAATTAAATTGAATACCTTGATCTGATTTAGCTCGACTGATAGGATAAAGAACTTGTTCCAAATTTAAATTGGTTTAAACTTTTCATAAATTCCGAACATTAGCACGTCTGATATTATTGACTGCCGTTGGTGTAATGATCGATTTATTAGCACTATTACTTAACAATTTCAACGCTGACGTGTCTTTCAAAGTCATATAGCCCAATAGGGTGTTCCAGGCATCGTGAGACGACAACAGATGTTTTCAATCGAACACCCGGTCGTCTTCCTTTTTAATTATTCATTCTTCTTTACTCGTGTTTCAATTCTTCATATTAACTGGCAGTTTTCATTGCTAGAACATTTGTGTAAAAACATAATGTTATCTCTGTTATTCTCTTTAGAAGAACAGTGACAGCAATATCTTTTTGTAAAGCTGTTTCAGTATTCACTGATGTATGCTCTTTTTCCCTGGATCGATGTTGTCCGACTGTTATATTAGTTTTCTATTTGCCTGTTTTTCTTTACATTTTGATTGTTGTCAGTTTACAAATGGTATTTAACTTTCACTTCGTTTCTTGTTTGCATTTGAAATACGTATTTGTGATTGTTAAAATGATATTATACTTGTTTTTTTAGTATTTTCAGAACTTCGAGGGATTTTAAGAAGTTGATACGTTATTTAAAATGAGGAATGGAAATCAATATATATAAAAGAGTTAACACACACACGCAACTCTCGTATGTAACCTAAAGGGGTAGGCAGAAACCACGGACGGACGGACGACGGACGGTGGCAAGCCGCCAAGCCTTTCTTTTGCTGATATGTGCAGGTTGCATCACGTTGTTTTCCTTCACCGTAAGAACTTCCAAACACATTGGTACATGGCGGGATTCGAATCCAAGACTTGCAGATTACAAATCAAGTGTTTAACCTCTTCAACACTGACGCTATGGTATTAGAATTCTACGGCAATTCCTTAAAAGAAAATTAAACAAGGAAAATTCTATCTGCTTTAATACACAAGATATAAACATGTAAGAGATAAATTCGATAAATCAGGAGTCACGTACTGCTTGAAGATGTATGAAAAAACTCGTAACAAGGAACGTGTCTCAAACCTACCAGTGTAAAAATATATCTTCTCTTAGGCCCATCGTACACAAGGCTACGTCAATCTTTGAAACAGAACGATTTTTGGTTACAAGACTTGCAATACGGTATTATAGAGGGGTACCAATTGCCGTTATTTTGTTATTTTAGTCGCCATTTAAATAATTTATAATTATGTTTAAATTAAGCATGAGTAACTCTTTGTTAGTTTTATTACGTATTATTATGAGGAACTTTTTTATTATGTATACTAGCTGTCGCCCGCGACTCCGTTCGCGCGGAATTAATAAAAACTTAATAAGTAGCCTATGTGTTCTTCAAGACTATGTTCTATATATATGCCGAATTTCATTGCGAGATCCGTTCAGTCGTTCTGTAGATACATTCAAACAAACATCCATCCATCTAAACATTTGCATTTATAATATTAGTAAGATTGAATGATTAGGGCAATAATACAAAGAGATATTTTTTTAAATACTTTATACAACTTCTTGGTACTGTTTTCGTTAAAATATTAATTCAATGTTTTGTAACTATTCTTGAATTTCTTTTCTTAAACTTTGAAATTTTCATATAGAAGATAATGGATTTGACACTGACTTGAATTACTAAAGCAAACTAATTTGAACCCTAACATTCTCTCAATAAGATAGCTTTTCCAGTGACGCTTCTTGCTTTCGTGGAAAGGTCGTCAGTACACGTGGTAATAGGTTGCTATAAAATATTCAAGAAATAATTATGTCTGCGACAGCTGGTGCTGTACCAAGTTTTTTATAATACGACCTATGTTTTATACATCTAGTGCTTGGTGATGAAACATAGATGGCGCTAGTAGGTTTGAGATTATCCAATGCCTTATTCAGAAAACAATACTCAGACTAACCGTTGCTTTCTGAGACCAAAATCTCTATATAAAACATTTCGTCATCATATGTTTTAAATTGAGATTATGACCTCAAAATTTAACGATTAAAGATCGTTATATAAAAATTGAAATGGCACACAAATATTCACTTATATGTTTTATTTAACACTAGCTATCGCCGGACTCCGCCTGCGCGGAATAAAATAACACATAATAAGTAGTCTATGTGCTTTTCCAGCCTGAGTCCTACATCCATGCCCAATTTCATTGTGATAAGATATGCCGTTCTGGATACCTTCAAACAAACATCCATCCATCCATCCATCAATCTACATCATTCGCATTTATAATATTAGTAAGATATGAGCAGATTTTTGTCAATTAATTTATTTCTTGTAACATGCTTCTTAGGTCTAGAATTGTGCTAGGATATTAGTTTACAATAGTCAAATGGTGGGATTCGAACACTTGACCGCCCCATACCCTTAACTATTGGGCTATTGGTGCATGAAAAAAACAAATTTCATTTATAAAGCTTTATTTGTTATGCTTACAATTCAAGACGAGTCTAACGAAACGGTAAAATTAAATTCACTACGGCGAATAATTAAGCTGGAAAATTTAGGGGTGGCAATTAACGCAGCCGGGATAAAAGCACATTAATTCGACCCCTAAGCCGAAGAACAAGATAAATGGAAGCCGAAATAAACGGCAATCAGTGGAGCCTCTAGGGGGAACGGTAACGAAGAGGAATGGTCGTGAAAAAGTACCTGAAGCACTCCGGTAGTAATAATTAAAACCAAACATAAATTGTTACTTTAACCTCTATGTATATAATACTAGCGATGGCTCGTGACTCCGTCAAAACGGAATAAAAAAAATAGTAGCCTACGTGGTTTTTGGGACTATGTTCTATATGCATGCCAAATTTCATCGAGATCTTCAAACAAACATCCATCCATCTAAACAGCCGTTCTGGAGATACCTTATAACATTCTTAAATGCATGAAAACATTCGCATTTTAATATTAATAAGAAGAAGAAGTAAGATTTAAGAACAAAGATTCCTTCACATGTCTGATCTTTACAATTTATAAAATAAAAATTACGTAACTAACTATTGCCCGTGATTCCGTCCGCGTAAACAAAGCTTAGTAGAATATGTGTCCTTCCAGACTATGTCCTACATCTATGCTTAATTTCATAGAGATCCGTGCAGCGGTTCTGGAGATACCTTTTAACAAACATTCGCATAATATTAGTAAGATTAATAAGATGTATCAAACACTTATATCAGTTAGGTTAATACTATG